CTCTGTCTCCCCTCTGTTTCTATGTCTCTATACAATTCCTAGCCATTGAACAACTGTAATCATAGACTTTATCACCCAGCATCTTGGGTTCTGAGTCCTATGTGTTCATGACAGGAAACTACTTCTGAACAAGGATGGCAGGGGTGGGGTAGAAGCACCCATTTCTGAAACCCCTTAATCCTGATATTCATCCATAAATTTACTGGGCAAACAGAGACCATTTTGCTTACCACAAATAACTCAATGTAATCAAAGTAATATTGAGCCAATCCATGTCCATATAAACTATTTTCACTATTTTCTACAGAAATGGGACATACTGCTTTAAACTCAGTCCCCTGGAAAAAGATACAAACTAATTATATAACAGAATTAACCATTCTACTTTGTTCCTTCTAAGTATCTGCCACAGGGTTATAAACACTAAAGGCTTTAATTATAGGTTCATAGAAAATGCTCAATTGATATCTGTAGAGCATCAACATTGTTTCTCTCTGTCTCTGTCTCTCTGTCTCTGTCTCTCTCTCTCTCTCTCACACACACACACACACACAAAGACACACAGACACACATAATGCCACTCAAACTGTCTGTAGTTACACAGTTCCTGGCCACTTGTATATGTAAGATTCATAATCAAGTAAAACAACTTTCTAAAAGTTACCCTTCATTTGCATCTGAAAATCTAGACTACTTCGGTTTATTGCTAATTGGTTCGGACTTTTTTATAACACATCTGTGAAATTTTCATAATGGTTTAATTATAATACTAAAATCACATTAATTGAAGCATAAAGACAACAGGGTTTAGCATCCTCTTGGGCAGCATCTCTGAATATAAAATGAATAACTTTCAAAATGGCAATGAAGTGGGAAAATTTACATAAAAAATGAAGCATCTGCATGCGATCGTTTGCAACTCTCCTCCGAGGGAGCAGCACACCCCTCAGGGTGTTCAGTGCCCAGCTAACACAATCGCTGCATGTGCAAGTCACATCTATAGTGATCTGCACAGCCTGACTGATCCAGGTGAGAACTTAACACTTTGCTACTTATTATAGTCAAACTACTTACTGAAGGTTTCAGTATTTAGAAAGAAAATGGCAATGCGCTTGATTTTCGAGAAGCACTCAACATGATTCTTGGCTCAGTCAACATTTTTTTAAAAATATTTTATTTATTATTTATATTTTATGTATCTGAATGTATTGCCTGCATGTATGTAAGTGCATCCTTGTCATGCAATACCCACAGAGGTCAGAAAAGGGCATCAGATCCCCTGGAACTGGAGTTATGGACAGCTGTTAGCTGCCATGTGGGTGCTGGGAACCAAACCCAGGTCCTCTCCAGGAATAGCCAGTGCTCTTAACCACTGAGCCATCTCTCCAGCCCCTCGGTCAATATTTTTATTATTTTATTATCACTATGATTCTTAATCCAATGAGCATTTTCCAACAGGAGATCTAGCACAAATACCATAACTACAAGTAAAGAGCTCAGGATCTGAAGCTTAAAAAGTCAGTGATGAATTCTATCCACCTCCTTCGCAGGCTTTGTACCTCTCAGTTTTTTGGTCTGTCAATGGGAAACTGACAGACCCATTCTCGGGATGCGGGGCAGTCAGTAACATGATGGGCACAAAGTGCTCAGGTTGAACATATCTTTACAAGTACAGGTTAGGTGGAGAGCTCTGAGTGGTCAATGGCAGCCATAAAAGATAACACCACACAAAGATCAGGATAAAAGGTAGATGAAAGAGAAGAAGGAGACATAAGCAGTGGTGGCAGAGAGAGAGAGAGAGAGAGAGAGAGAGAGAGAGAGAGAGAGAGAGACAGACAGACAGTGGTGGCAGACTGCAGACCCTGAAGTCAGATAGACAGGAAGCTGCTATACCCCATGAGCCTGCTGCTTTGAGTACCTTACTATTCCACGTAAATGTATTTGCAGAGACGCTGGAAGGGCACAAAATAAGAGAGCAATAGTCACTCTGCTGCACCACAGAACAATCTGTAGTTGTAACAAACTGAGGCAATGTGAGAAGCAATAGGCTAGTTTTTGTTTGACTTGGTTTTTGTGGTGCTGGGGCCTCATATGTGCCAGGCAAGTACTCTACCACTGACCTACACTCCCAGCACCCCAGGCTATCTCTGAAGGGAGGCCTTGTCCTGTCCAAATAGATTTACTCTGAACTAGATTCACTAACACTTCAATGTACACATAAGACTAAACAAGTATACAATGTACAGAATACAGGAAGTGCCCTTTATACTGTCATTAAAAGGTCATCAAAATACTAGAGATTTTATATATACATGTACTTGTAACTTCATAGTGTATTATTCATAGACAGAAAAGGGAAATAGTTTCGCATTCACCAAATAATACCGTGGGGCCTATCTAAAACACGCACTTTACAGTAGAAAGCAAGAGGTACTCGCCTCCTAGCTTCGTCTTCTCTCAGACCTCTGCACACCCCACACTCACACATACTAGTCTCATCCACAGATCATGCTGCAGAATCAGAGAAATGTTTTCTATTTTGGGTCTTTCCTGATAGAATTCAAAGAAACAAATAAGGCTCACTGACAATTAAAATGACTTCAAGTCTCTCCCAAGCAGTCCTACCGGCAGATCATCAAACTGAGAAGTGAAGCTGGCCACATAGCAATCGCCAGTGAGAAAGTAACCTGGACGTTAGAGAAATCCAGAAATGTAGCAATATCCTTTGCAAAGCAAACAGCATCCACTTTTAATTAGCCATTAGCTAGGCACTCACTATTATTCAAACACAAGCACATAGTTACCACACACACCCCTGTAGGACCCTCAGTGCAGAGAAGTCAGCAAGACCCCCTCTGACGTTCAATCTCCCTGTCACAGTCGTACTCACTTGACTTCACAGGAGTGGACACTCAGCTCCTTGTGCAGCAGACCGCTGGTCAGGTGGTACACAAGCACAGAGCCGCTACTTGTACCTGTCGGACGATGTGACAGAAGAGCACTGGTTTAGGAAAAGGGCCAACTTTTTCCAAGAAGTCTTTTCCCAAGACTGGAATCATTTTACATTTATCTTGCACACAAGGAATCCAAGAAGAGTGCTTAAAAAGTGACTGTTTCCATTTGCCTCTTTATCAAAGCTGGTTCTAATTTCATATCCTCTGAAATTTTTCTAAAAGATTTAAAAACATAAATCAACACATATAATAATTGAAATAACACTTTCTTAAACTTTTCAACATGTGAGAGTTTATATTTTTTGAGATTCAGATGTTTATTACAGCTGGCCCTTTGAAAGGCAACCAAATTGAACTTATTTACCAGAGTTTGGAATTGTGTTTTGTGTCCTATTAAGTCATGACAAGATAATAAATTAGGGTGGTTAAATGTGACTTCTTCAGTTAATGAGACTTTGGCTCATACTCTGGCTAAACTGTTTGCCCAATACTGAATCCATGCTTTTACCTCTTTAAACAGGGAATAGCAGAAAATCTGTTAGAAGTTGAAAGAAAAATTGTGTGTGAAGCACTGAGCACAGCACTGGGCACAAATCAGCACGTGACCACTGGTATTAATGTAGCGAATCAGCATTTCTGTTCTCACTGTAAGACACTTCAGAGTCATAGCTGTTCCTATAGATTTTGGTTTCTTAGGCCCAGGTAGTTATGTCTAAAATTTAAGGAGGAAAGACGTGGACAGAGTTAAGAAGTTCTAATCTCTAAAATATTTTTATAATTTCAGAAAGGAAAGTGAGCAGCACAACTGCTTGGAGAATTACTTTCTCATGGACCTGATTGAAAGAAGATTCATACAAAGCCACAGAATGGAAGTAAAAATGACAAGCAAACTCCAATTTTAGCTTATTTCCTAAATAAATCTCCAGAAATTTTCTATATAACTATTCTAGAAGAAAGTTATGGTTGTTTACATTTATCATCCATTATATTGTAGCAACTTATGGTTTCAAGAAAGCAGATTTATTATTAAAATTTTCACTTTAATAGATCTTCACAATAGTCAAATGATTGCTACATTCTGCAAATTTTGATGTTGCTAACCTATGATCTACTGTGCTGACCTATGACCTACTGCGCTGACCTATGATCTACTGCGCTGACCTATGACCTACTGTGCTGACCTATGATCTACTGAGCTGACCTATGATCTACTGCGCTGACCTATGATCTACTGCGCTGACCTATGATCTACTGAGCTGACCTATGACCTACTGCGCTGACCTATGACCTACTGAGCTGACCTATGACCTACTGAGCTGACCTATGACCTACTGAGCTGACCTATGATCTACTGCACTGCAGGCATAAAAGAAGAAGTGACTCTGCTGTCTCCCCAGGGACACTGCACCACTTCAGGCATGGACTTATAGTCCTCACTTTTATCTTGTCATACTAAAGTCAGAAAATGATTCCATTCACTTTCTACTAGTACAGTGGAAATATCAGACCGTGACAGAGCTCTTAATTATATAGTTTTAACAGGGAGTAATTTTCCCCCAGAAATGAACAAAATCCTAAATGACAAGTTACACAGACAACACTATGCCTACATTAGGGACAATGTACACTAATGAATCCTAAGTAAAACCTCAGTATGATGTTAAAGATACATGGCTTCCAAAGCAAAAATTTCACATTTATCTGTATTTATATAAATCTAGAAATATTACTGAATCTTCAAATTCAAATCACTTTCAGAAGATAGTCAAAGAAGATACAGGAAAAACCAAATAAACAAAACCCAAGACAATACCCAAAAGAGTTGTTAGCACTCCTGAGTCAGCCACAAAGCTAAATGAGACACGTTGGCCACCGATGTGGTCAGGCTTTCATTTAGGAAAGAAAAGGAACCACTAGCCACAAGTCTACAGACCTAGAGAGAGAGTCAGAAGCCAAACAATAACATCAGAGGGGGAAATGGGCACTGTTTCAGACAAACAGACCAGTTCTGAAATGTTTAGAGCTATTCAAACTTTACATACTTAGACTTATCTTTGGCTTTCTCTGTAAAGGAAGCGAGGTTCACAGGCTGACCCCATTACTATGAAACCAATGCAAAACAACAGCTGAAGCCCACTTTTTTCTGCCTATTCACATAAACATTCAGTGACATCCCAGGTACCTGGGAGGTTGAGGTAGGAGAATTATAAGTTCAAGGTCATAGAATGAACTCAAGGCCAAGCTGGTAAACTTAGTGGCACCATCTCAAATTTTAAAAGGAAAAGAAAAAGGGTGGTGGATAAAGCTCAGTGGTAGAATGCTTGCCTAGAATGTTTGAGGCCTGAGGGTCAATTCTCAGTGCTAAAATAAGTAAACAAATGAGCAAAGCAAAAAGCAAATCTTAGTTTACAGAAACCATGACCTGTTTAAACAGGGCTGAAGAAGAACATCACTATCATTATACTATTAACTCTGACTACACTATTAGTTAACGGAGGCCTAATACAAAATGACATGCACATTAAAAGACTGGAGTGTTCCAAGAAGAGATAAGAAATCCTGGACTGGCTGGGGGCTGGGGAGATGGCTCAGTGGTTAAGAGCACTGACTGCTCTTGCAGATTCTCAGCACCCACATGGTGGCTACAAACTATCCTTAACCCCAGTTCCAGGGGAATCCAAAGCCCTCTTCTGACCTCTGCAGCACTGTACGACATGGGCACACTCACATACATGCAGGCAATACACTCTGGACTGAGCATCATGTGAGGACTACACTATTTCCCCGATCCTTCAGAGATGTGCTGATAGGAGTCAAGTAGAACGATTCACAACAATTAAAATTAAGGCAGTAAGAGTAACAGGATAGGAAAAAAAGAAAAATATGTGAAGAGGAATATTTATACAACTTTTCTCAACTATTTCTTCTTTTAAAGCATACTCAAAGACAATATAGGATTTTCTAGAAATTAGGAAGCCTAAATATCTTACAAAATGAGTTTCAAAAAGGAATAGGCCAAGTACTCACCAACAGCAAGGAGTGGCTGATACATCTTAATGTTTTTTGTGGTCAGTGGAGGGCACATACGGATAGCAAACTGGGGAGAGGGAAGTCCTGAGAACAGTCCTGTCAGCAGGAATTTGAGGTGCACTTCCTGCAGGGTGGAGAGTTTGGGATGCTCTTCCCCAGCAATAGCACTCTGCCCTGATATGTCATCAAAAATACAAGTGTATTAATCACAACGTAAGCTGACCTTAAATATCTAGATATGCTCATCAGGTCTAGAGGCAAAGGTGTGAGGCATCTATCGGGGGGCTGGACCTAGCAGGGTCATGATGGAGCCACAGTCGCCCACCAGACTTAAATCACACCACTGACAACTCCAACTCCAGGTACTGCTACCCAGAATCAGGAACCTATGTTCTAAGAAACACCGCTTCATCTGAGGCTCCTGGAATGAAGGCACTCAATGAGGCTTTCAGAAGCAGGCAGGAGGCCTGCCTGGCTTAGAGAACACATTCTGTAGAGTGGGACGCTAGAACACATTCCTACTTTAGTACCTTTCTGTAGGGCTACTTTTCAGCCCAAGGAACTTCGTAAGGCACTTGAAATCGGTAATCACAAAAAACACATTCAAAGAACCCAGAATTTCTAGTAAGAAATTTTAATGTGTAAATATATCTACAAAATTTAGGGTTTACAATTAAATACTTTATCCTTGTAAAATAATATAACTGTATCAGTAAGAAATATATGTAGCATATAAACTGTCGTTATAGAAAGGTGTCTTTTTGTTTTGAGACAGGATCTCATGAAGCCCAGGCCAGCCTTGAACTTACTATTTGGCCAAAGATGACCTTGAACTCACCCCTTTTGCCTTCACCCCCAAGTCTTGGAATTCTAGGTTTGTGCCACCATGCCCAGCTTGATAGTTAAGAATTAAATGGTATTATTTTCATACGTATTGTTTGTACAAATTGAACAAATCATCCAGCAAAAATTATAAAATCAAAACTGTCCAGTAAAAAAGGTATACAAACTTCCTTCATATAACCCAGTATTAAATAGTGGATTAGCCAAAAGTACATAATGAAAATATATATGAATACATACATACATACAGCAACACCTATACACTATGAAATATAGTTATTAAGAGTGGGTAGGTAATAGGACTATGAATATAGTCCTTTGAAGCTATAAACTTATTTTAGTAATGCTATTTTGAAGCCTGTGGAATTCATAAAAAAATAATCATTAATTTAATCTAATTAAAATGATCCCTTAGGATTGGCCATATAGTTGATACCAATAGGTAGGCTATTAAGGAAAAGGAGGTTCAACAGGTAGATACCACGCAAACCAGCACTATAAGCTTAGAGTTGACTCATGGGAACGGTCACATTTTTCAAGTATTTTCCATAAGAGGCAATTCATGAGGCAGGGCAGATTTAGGCCTTAGTAAGCTACAGCCTTTATCCAATGAATATAAATCAGTCTCTATATTTAACTGAATTGCTTTCAATTATCATTAAGTACACAGTGAATTTCAAGTTAAAAGTTTAATTAAAATGTTTTCAAGTGACAAACTTTATTTATCTAACACTTTTGTTTTTTTCTTTTTGAGACAGGGTCTCCCTGTAGCCCCAGCTGTCCTAGAAGTCACTATGTAGACCAGGCAGGCCTTGAACTCACAAAGATCCACCTGCCTCTGCCTCCCAAGTGCTGGGATTAAAGGCATGAGCCACCACATTTAACACTTTTAAATCAACTATATTGTTAAGAAAGCTTGATAATTTGTTTTTCTTTAATACTGTAATTTATATCACTTAGATACCTAAGCAGCATAAAATTTCAGTTTATTATGGGTTTCATATTGCTGATTAGTTTTGTTCGTGTGTTTATAATTCTTTTCATTTTTATATTTTATATTAAGACAAGGTCAACTCAGAAAATTGTTACTGATGAGATGAATTTTGAAAATCTTGCGTGTCCATACTTCCTATAGGGATTGATTGATCTAAAGGTGAAGAGAGAAAACTAAAGGGCAGCCTTACTTAAGCAAAGGGCTCCACAGTTGGAGGAATCCTGACAAAACCAGGGCTTTGAGAGGTCAGAGTCTTGCCCCAGGCAACAGTGCAACAGGCAAGACTGCACAGCACTGCTAGGTGCAGCTCCAGAGCCAGGAAAGATGGGTTACTTGCTGGGCTTACATATTCTGCTGTGTATTGTGGGGCAAGTTTTTAAACCTCTCTGGGACTCATTTTCCACATACCTTAAATGGAGATAATATTAACTACATTGCAGGGCTATGTAATATGTATTTGGCACAGCAGTAAATGTAGTTATTAAGCACTCAAAAAGTATTTGATTAATCTGATTAACAAGGTAATGTTCTTGGTATATCATCTATCTAGCATTTACATGAAACAACTCACTAACAACCATTCTCAACTACATTATGGAAGAATGATTCAGAACATTGTTTATAAGACACATTTACAATTTTAAAAGAATTAGATGTCAAAATTGGTTGGCATATTTATAGTCTTACAATTCCAAGTTCCCTAATACTTGAAAACTGCCAAGTTCTTTCTTCCTTTAGTATACACTAGGCCCATAATAAGTAAATGACTGAATATGTTAATTCTAAGTATTCATTGAAAGTAAGAATTACCAACATAAAAAAATTCCTGTCAAAAAGGTCAATTATTTTTTCCAGTATCGCTCAGCTAGCTTCTTCCTTTTAATGCATATCAGAGAGAGAGAACAAAGCCCTGTGCTGAGTCCTGGGGATACAGAATTGAATCAGACACTGTCCCAGTTCTGCAGAACTTAGCATGATCTACTGGATGAAACAGAACTACAACCACAATTAGAAGATGGCTGATCACCACTAGGCACTATGCATAAGCAAGAACATTTAAATAAGGCTTAGAGTACAGAAATACTTGAGTTGAATTTTGATTTACAAATAGTGGAGAGGGGGGGGGCATGCAACTGATGTGAAGCTGTTGAGGTCTGGGAGCCCACAGGGCTGAGGAGGTAGAGGCTGCTCAGGAGCAGCTCTAAGTCTAGACATGGTCATCTCTTGTTTAAACCACTCTCTTGTGAATGTCATTTCTAGCAACTAAACACCTATCTGCTATTTCCGACTTTTCAGGCTTCAATATTTTAGATTTCTGATTTAGAAAGACAATTTTGTATTTGAGTCTTCTTGAGTATTAACGTTGACTTTATAATAATTGCCACGTCAGTTACTCTTAATTCTGCTCTTCAGAAAGACTATCTAACAAGCAGGTTAGAGGAACAGAACAAGCTTACCAATCATATTATCTAGGGAAAGGTCTGGGAGTTTGCTCTGTCGCACTCCTACAGGAATTCCACAGAAAGACACTGGTGAATACAAAGGTGACACACCAGAGCTACTGCAAAGACATAAGATTAGACGGTTTGTATAGGTCTCAAGCCAGCACTGCACATCAGGCACTCAGACTATGACATCAGGTCAGGACATTTCTTCTATAGTAACAGTTACCAGTCTTAGTTACAGGACAAACTGCTGCCAGCTCACACCATTACTAGTGATCTAAGGCTTTATGTCCTTTAAAAATTTTTTTGTAAAAAATAGTGTTACTCTTTTTATGATTCTGTTAACTTAAAAAAATGGGAAACCAAAACCAAAACCCAGCCCCACGCATGCATTTACCTGTTGCGTGCATTTCGACTGCACGTGGCAGACTTGAGCTCCCATATCATGACCCTGCCATCGCTCACTACAAGGGCAGCTGCATTCTCATTGACAGGACAGCACACCATACTGAAGGGCCGGACAGTTTTCGTCACCCTGATTGCATCGCACTGGCTCCGTAAATCATAGGTAAGCTCCTGAACAGGGTCTGGATCTTAACATAAAATTGCCTTCTTTTAAATGTCTGGGTTCAAGTGCAGTAACATCACTACCGCCTGACTCAGTTCAAACAAAGCCTCAACCACAAGGGTGCCAGCCCTTCACTAGCACACAGTGACAAGAGCAGCTGTCCCTTTTATTGCTACCAGTTTCTTCAGATTATAAAGATAATTCACAGGACTGACACGGTTTAATCTCTAAAATAACACAGGATACCTTCTTTAAAGTTTGTTAAAGAATGCTTTGCAAAAGGATCGATGAACAGCACACCGGGACTGTAACACACAGTAGTATACAAAGTCTGAAAGCACCTGTGCTTTATAAAATCACTTCCATCTGTTTGTAGCATTTCACAAAAATGTTTATATCCCCCAAAGATGTATCTGACAACCTAGTGCCTTGGAAACTGACTAACCCTATGCTGTTTTATAATGAAAACTATGGCAGGGCAAAAGTCAAGGTGGTATAAAGACACACAACCCTGGACACAAGGAGGAAATATTCACAGACGGTGACATTTACGCGGCTGTGGCTATGATCAGGAAGGAGTGACAAAATGCTGGTCTCTGCTGCATGCAGGAGGGGCACTGCTGCACAAGAGATTCCTTCTGAAGGCTTGTGCCGTTTCATGTCTCACTTATGGACATGTTCTGACAGTTTCTCAAGATAAGGACTAGCATCCACACTATTTCTTGACTGGCATTTGTCACATGATGCTTTGTAAACAATTTTGAAGAAAGCTGTAATTAACATTACTTACCTGGTACATCACTTGCAGGGGTGAAAACGCTACTATAAGACCTTCGAACACGTAAGGTTATACAGCCGTTTTCATGCAGGCAAAACAAGCCATCACGCTGAAAGCAGGGTATCACCTTAAAACAGAGATGCATTTATTTTATATATTAACTTCTTTTTTTTCAATATATAACTTTATTGAACCTTTGTGCATTTCATACAATACATCTTAATCATATTTTGCCCTCTCCCTTTTTTGCAACCCACCCCCAACACACCCACTGGATTTCATGTATTCTGTCATATATGTTAAGGCCTATCGAGTCAAGTTTGGGTATCCAGATGTCCCTTATTGCGTGTTCAGCCACTGGAGCCTGCTCAGCCTATCCAGCATCTCCGTTAAGGGAGTGACACTAGAGAGGTATTTGTTTTTAATAGTACAACAGAGTACCAAGTACTGTGAAATTCAAAACATATTTAGAGAATATGGGCAAAATAAGAAACAAAAACATACATATTCTCTAAGCTTTAAAAACAAACACTTAAAAAATCCATTTGCAAGTCTCCGGGCTATGGTGGCACACACCTTTAATCCCAGCACTTGGGAGGCAGAGGCAGAGGCAGGCAGATTGCTATGAGACTGAGGCTAGTCTGGGATAGTTTACAGTCCTAAATATAATCTGCCTTATCCATGTAAGTTATTATTTTTTCTTTGTCTGAGGCTAGTCTGGGATAGTTTACATGGTGACTTCCAGGCTAGCCATCTGGGGCTACAGGGAGACTGCCTCAAAAAATCAAAAAGGAAAAAAATATATATATTTGCAGTCCTAAATATAATCTGCCTTATCCATGTAAGTTATTATTTTTTCTTTGTTTTGCAGCCATGGCTGGCCTAGAACGCACTACGCAGCCCAGACTGGCCTTGAGCTTCTGGCAGTGTTCCTGCCTCAGGTTCCTGATGGGGTTAGAGGCACATGCTACTATGTCTGGCTCTTAAATAGTTTAATAAATATTTCATGATCAATCAGGACAATTTCTAGGTAAGTCAACCAATGAGCAGTACAGAAAAATATGGAGTACAAAATAACTCTTCTATTTTGATGGAAAAGAGAAGGGAACAAATAGTTTCTGCAAGACTGTGATCTTGCTAAGTAACACTCATAACTGAGGGACACATTATAAAATGTAGATACCTGCAGAAATGGAACTCCTGTTCGTTCTATTGCGATCACACCCACTGTTTGATTCACTTCAAGGTCAAGGATTAAAATCTCTCGAGGATAAAGCAATAACATGTGACTCCTTTTTGAAGGTAGATAGGCCAACTGGAGGCAATCGTTGAGAGTTACGAACTCAGCACTAAAAAAAGTATTCAGCGATGAACTGCTATGAACGTCAGTACAAGACAGTCACATCCAAACGCTAATGAAGAAGTTAATTTTGTACTTTCCACATAAAAATTGTCCAAGAGAATGAACAACTATTTCTTGAAATGACCAACATGGATTAACATCCAAAACTTAGACCTCTACTAATTGACAGAATTCAAATTAAGGCAAAAAATATCGTATGGGTTGGGTAGACATCAGTGTTTCTAAATTTCTGAAGTGGACAAAGCTAAACAGTGCAGGCTCTGACTATGGTGAGATAGTGACAGCCCTGCATTGGTCACGAGACAGTTTTACTTTTCCTTTGCAATCAGAGGGACTGACTGCTGAAATAAAGACCTGGGACTAAAATATAAAACATTCAGGGGAATTAGGCTCACTGAACCAGGAGTTACTGGACCATCCATGGGGCCTAGGACAAGTTCACCTCTCCAAGTCTCTCCTTGTTACTTTTGTGCTGTCCTAAACAAATTGAGGGTATTTTACTCCCTTATACATTCTTTCATGTTACTATAACACGAAGCTTGTAGAATATATAATATTTTGACATAATTATATTGACAAGTTTGAAATTTAAAATACAGTTAATTTAGAGGACTAGGAGGAGAGTGGGCCTGTACTGCATCAGGTCCTGACTGCCACTCAGGCAGCCTGGGGACATCTGACAGAAGGGACTCAGGTTTCCTCATCTATAACATGAGAATGGTATAGATGCCCAGGACTGGAGTAAGACAAGTGAATTAAGGTGAAAGCACTCGGATCAGTTCTACTGAAAGAGATAAATGGTGCATTTTTCCAATAATCAAGAAACTTGTGATTTGTATAATAGAAAACAAAGCAAATAAGTCATAACATAAAACTCCTTAGTCTGCCAAACAATTATTTGTTGTAATAAGGAATTCACACAAAATAAAAGTTCTCTTAAGGTAATTAAGGAACATTCTTAAACCATCTCAGGATAGGGTGGGAAATAAATTAACTCTAAGCTAAACCAGCCCATGGTTTAATATATACAAATAATATTTACCCACAAATTCAAAGTGTATTTGAGTGCAATTTTTAATTTTAGCATATATAATTCAGTTAATTATCCACACAGTCTAAACAGAATAATCCTGGCATATTAAAGGCTACTTTAAAATGAATGCCCAGAAAATTCACCAAAGCTGTAAAAATATGACTGTAGCTCTAGTAAAAAACAGGAATCTATTTGTAATGCATAAAATTAGTTCCCTAAAATTATACTCAGGTACAATTTCTTAAATACATCAGCTCACATGTTCTAAATGAATGCATATACCAACCATATCATCTACTCCACAAAGTGCTGTGCTGACATCATTCAGCCTACTAATCTCTGAAACAAGCCTACAAAGTACTTTAACCCTGTTTGACAGCCGGGGAGTGAAATCCGAGCAAGGCTAAGAGCCTCTTCCTCATACTACAGCATTCTCAGGAGCCAGCTTCCATCTAGCTGGGCAGCGTCATTACCTGTACAAGAATCAGCCTCCTATTTCTGACTTGAAAGAGACTGCACGGTACTTAATTAAGGGAATGTATCAAAATGAAAACCCAGCTTCCCCCCAAATTTGCATGTATTAAATAACCACAACTTTAAAATTATCTGCTATTTTCAGAAGGAAACTCAGAAGTGATCGATTTTAATGTGTGAAAATCAGTGGGTAGTTGAGCACAGCTAGCAGAACACAGAAATAATGTGAAATGTGGGATCTCTTCAGAGCCCAGACAGAAGCATTAGGTTTTCCTCTAGTAAATTCAAAACTAGAAGAAAAGGTGATAAAGTTATCTTAGTGCAGCTCCAAAAATGATGCTTTCCTAAGAGACAATGGAGAGCTGAGTGCTAGAGTCTTATGCTGGAACTCACCTAGGCTTCTCCTGAGTGATTAGAATTTTGACTTTATTAAGAGCCTTCTTGGCTCCTGTGGCTGCAGCCAGCTTGTTGTGAGCTGGGCTGGAGTGTGGGCTGGAGATGTACACTTTCTTCCCAGGGCCTGAGGGAGGCTTGGACGGAGAGAAGTCCGAGATGAATACAATGCCCTCGCTGGTGAGCACTGGATTGAGAGAAGCAGAACTTGGATTAAAGTCTACTCAAGTTTGGCAGAGTTCTATTCCAATACAATGATCACTTAACAGCCCAGAGATGACACTTATGAAGCTGTAACCCCATGAAGAGAAACAGGAGCAATGCTATAGTTCATCAGAAGCCTCCAGGATGGGCACCTCAGTTATATCTTATTTTGAAAGGATACTGGAGAATTACTTATTCTTTCAGTTAAGTTCTGTGCATAGACTTTCATTAAAAACCTTCCTCATTATATACTGTAGCTTCAAAAGTAAAACATTTTTGGTAATGTAAGATCCACACAGAATACCACGTGCAAGCTCAGCATATCACTATCAGCTAGGCTCATTTGATGACACTATATTTTTTATGACTATCCTGAGCTATTCAGTCTAAATAATTTCTTTTTTCTTTTAAAATATCAGCCTGAACTGATATTTGATAAGCAAAGAGTATTCTTTTCCTTATTTTTTTAAAAAATCAGAATGCCAACAGATGTTTGGCATTGTCCACAAAGCAGACGTATTTCAGTACTATGTGTAGTGATACAATTTATGCCTTCTTATGAGTTAGAAAAACCATCTTCCTCAACATTAGGACTAACACTGAGGTGAATGGCCAGGGAAACCTCATCTGGCCTAGGTTCTGGAGGTCAGTGAGGCTGCTATAGGCACAGAAATCAAGGCAGAGTTCTGACAGCCCTGGCACATTCAGTGACCGTTTATATAGCAAAAACAGGTGTGGTGGTAGACACCTGTAATCCCAGCCCTGGAAAGGCTGGCATAAGGGTGGGTTTAAGGTCAGACTGGGCTATACAGCAAGACCTTTCTTCGAAACAAAACAAAACCAAAAATGTAATGCAGTGTTTCCACCAGCCAAATCACAGAGATGCAGAGTTAACAGAATGAAGTTAGCCTAATGCCTTGGATCCTTTCAGGTTTCAGAACTACAAGGTTCCACTGGCTTCCTTCTCATGTGCAGCCTTCCCTCACTGACTGTAATGAGCCAGCCCCTGGCTGTGTTCTTAAAGCAGTTCATTTGTCAGCAAACAAGCAAGTGAACAAGTGAGTGTGTGGGCACAAGTTCACATCCACATGGAGACAGGCCTGCACACCAGACACGGCGGTTATTTTATAGCCACATTCCCCATTTTAACTTCATTTGCCATTTAGATTCTGCTTATCTTCCTTTCTCTTTCAACATAAACAAATGCACACACAGTCTCTCTCAATAAATACTGATGGATAAAATCAGAACTCCGAATCCCTTGAATTCAGGGAGAACACTGCTGACCACAGCCAATTCCCTTGCCTCCTTCAACTTCTGACCACTATCAAACAAAGCCTGCTTCGACAGCTCTTTAATGCAACCTGACAGCTCGGTCGGTCCCCATTCCCCCACCTCCTTCATCTGGGTCTATCTTCTCTATACCAGTCATCGCCTTAATATGCTGAAATGCATTGGTTCATTCTGTTCACACTCACAGTTATGCCCTACTCCCTCTCACTGGAATGCTAATGCTATGAAGCCAGGAACTTTCTTTCATCTCTTGGTTCCAGAACAGTAACACTAGCTAGAGAAGTATCTGTTGGACAACTGCCCAACAAGTATTTTCTAAGTAATATAACTATACAAACACTGCTGCAAACAAATCTCATTTTTAGATAATTTTATCCAGAAAACATCAAAAACATGAAATGCTAGCAAAAACCACTTCTGCAAGAAAGATCTCCTTGAGCTCATTCTGTCTTGTACATGAAAGGCATATATTTCCAAGTACCAAATTTCCTATGGATGACAGGATTAGGATCTGTCAGGTGTGTTAGAACCTGAGCTCTACCGAGATGTGCTTCTTCACTTTGTCCACTCAGTCATTGATGTATAATGTGAACTTTGTGTATACCGCATTAATTATACTTTTAGTACCACCTGCAACTTATTTTCTACGAATAATCATTACTTACAAGTTAAATGTGAGGGATCAAAAGGGTCAAAAGAAAAAGAAAGGATGTTGTCTGCATAGCTCTTCTTCCAGAGCTTGGTGCCAGTGTCTGCATTCCAGAGCACGATGTAGTTTGGTGGGTGGATGGCCAGCAGCAGGTCTCGGGAAGCATCCTGATTCCACAGCCACTGCACATCTGTAGAGATCAGAAAGATGAAGGCAAAAGCCAGAAGGCATCCATTTCAGACACCTTAAAAATCTTAATACCCTCCTCCAAACGTGACATATATGCATGCCTGTCAACCTAATTTTATATAAAAATGAATTGTTTTCATCAAGATCTCAAATAACACGAAATATTAAAGAAAATTTGTAAGAATCACCTTCTTAGTCATGTGAAGATGCCACACTCTTCCAATGCTTCTGTGGAATTACTGGTAAGACTGAAGCTTTTCATGACTTTTCAAAACAATAATACTGGAGAATAATGATGCAGCTTAATACTTAATACACAGCAAGTATTCAATATATATTTAAAAAAATTCATTCAGGGCTGGGGTGATGGCTCAGCAGTTAAGAGCACTGGCTGCTCTTGCAGAAGACACAGGTTCAAATCCCAGCACCCACATGGTAGCTAATAATCATGTGTAACTCCAGTTCCAAGGGACTCTACACCCTCTTCTGCCCTCCAAGGGCACTGCATGATACAGGTGCACTTACGTAAGGGAAGGCATAACACTTATACACATAAAATAAATATAAGTAAATAAATAATTAAAAATTCATTCAGGGCTGGGGAGATTTCTCAGTGGTTAGAGTGCTTGCCCTACGAGCTTGAGGAACTAGATTCAGGTCCTCAGAACCCATGAAGAAGCTGGGCTCGCCGCACATGCCTGAATGATAGCACTGCTACAGCAAGATGGGAGGCAGAGACAGGAGGAAGCTCGCTTAACCTGGCCTGTGAGATGAAGATCGAGACCAGCCAGAGCGCCTGTCTCAACAAAGGTGGACAGCACCCGAGGAGTGACGGCTAAGGTATCCTGTCCTCCAAACAGCATTCATGCACCTGCACACACATATGCAGTACCAGTGTATGCAACCCACCCCCTGCCACACACATGCCTAAACATCAAAAAAAGAAATTTCAGTCAGTAGACCTTCTCAAAACTTTAGACAAGAATACTGTATTGGTTTTAGGTGAGTAACATAAAGAAAGCAACATTTTTTATAAAAATGAGAATTAATGGTTGTGAGCCTGAGCCTTTAACGGCTGTGCCAGGCAAAGAGATGCATCTTAGCTCTGGAAATTGTTATTGAATATATCAATGTTGTTGTAATGAAATGCTTCTTCTAATTATGTGATTATTAAATTAAAAAAAGAAAAAAAATGAGAATTAAATTTTGATAATCTCTATTAATTTAAAGTAAGTACTGATACTTATTTCATTAGAGCAATTCAGTTGATTTTACTTAGAGTTTAATCTTTGATAGCTCAAATTTGTCACCATGCTTGTCTGAGGCTGATACTGAAATTAATGAGTTCTTAATGTAGTATAAATCAATTGAGATCTAAAGAAATATGCCCAAAATTATACTGATAAGGAAAAGAACATTAATAGACAGGCTAAACACTGCCAAAAGCTAACATGTAAGGAATAAAATCAAATAATTGTAAAGAGCAGAGGCTCAGCACCTCACCTTGGATGGGCCTGGCATGCTCCTGGATCTCACACTGGGCTACTCCTGCTGCTACATCCCAGACGATGATCTTTCCACTGACATCGGCAGAAGCTAAGCGCAAACAGTATGGGGAGCCGATGTTATGGTGATAGTTTTCCCTGGCCCATTTGACCTAGGATCAAGAAGAAATTAGATCAGGTATACTTGCACCTGATGTAATCTCAGCACTTGGGAAGCAGAGGCAGGTGGATTTGTAAGATCAAGGCCAACCTCGTCTACATAGCAAGTTCCAGGCCAGCTGGGACTAGAGAGGAATCCTGTCTCAAAACAAACAAAAAAACAAACAACAAAACCCATGAACCCAGTAGCAATCACTGTAAAGGTCATCAGGCTTGCCTCCTACACGGCTCCTAAATATGCTTCCACTGTGCCTCAGCCTTATTCTAGGACCTTAGAATTTCCTGCCAAAATTAATTTAAAATCTCCCAAGCTATCTCAATGTCTCCAATTGTGTCTTTCTCCAACAGGCCCTCCACTGCTTGGCAAAGTATTTCTTTCTAAAACGCAAATCAGTTATTTCACTCTTTATCTAAAAATCCAAGTTCCTTCACAGTGTTACAAAATCCTGAAGACAGACAGCTATCCCTCCTGGGCTGCCCCTTCTTCTATCTCTCCCACAAGAATACCCACATTTCAACCATTTTTATAGCACACGACTGTGTATGTGCAGTCTTCCCCTTCCTTATGGTGCTTCTTGGATTTCTCAATGGCTGTTTCACCTAAATAGGAAAGGGAGCTATGATTTTCCTCTTATCCCCACAGCTTGTTGGTATGTAGTTCTACCCTTAGCATGTTCGGCAAGTCTCACCTCACCCTAAATCCTCTTCACAAGGTAAGAAATTGCCTAAGAGGTTTCATTTTTATATTCTTAGTACAGGATAAGTGCCCAAAACTAATGGATGAATGAATGATCTGGCAAATGAAAGAAATGGTATGTTTACCCACCTCTTTAAAATGCCCTACAACTAGCAGTTAACTATGTATTTTGGATTAACAGTAAGTCATATATATGTAAATACCACACAATCCAAGATAAGGCTATATGACATTTATACTTATGATTTAATGAGAAGGTAGTGACATATTAAACTTTAGACAGACTGTTATGGGGTTAATGTGGGATTTAACTTACCTTAACAATATCAGCTTTATGTTTTTCTAAAACTTGAAGAGTTTGGGCAGTATTTGAATCGATCACTACCACAAGTGAATGACATCCATAAGCAATTAAACCTTGCCAGCCCCTAAAAGAGCAATGTGAAAATTTAAATACAAAACAAGGCAACTCAACTTCTCTTCTGCTGCTGTTAAATTATTCTAATTCATAGTGCCACCACTAATAGTATTACTTAAAGTCAAAGCCCTGAAATAGTGTTCCATTTATATACAGGGCCCAGCTAAGCTTTCAGATACTTGAGATTCATTTTCATTAAAAGAAGTTCTAAAAGATATATACACAGAGCTATGAATGTATAAGGCAGTTGTGCTGCCTTTGCATGCTGTTTTTTATTCCGAGGCCAATAACAATACTTATTTTCAATCCACAATGTGCTGAGGATAAGAATCTGTGAGTCTTAGTCCTTCCAACCAGATTTAAAAAACAAACAAAAAAAAAAACACGGAGGTTTCAGTCTCCGTAGCAACATTCCCAGCACCACAGCTATAGACTTTTGCGTTATATTAATCTAGTTATTCGTTTTCAGAGCTCTGCTGTGTTATTTTACTGTGAAAAGATAAAAATGGGGGGCGAGGAAGAACCTGTCGTGGATAGGGCTGTGCTGCACAGGACTCCAAAGGATGCAGGTGAGAACAGGCAAATGAATTGACAGGTTCATAGAACTGAGTCTGGACAATGTTGAAGGCGGGGGAGGGGGGCGGTATGAGGAACAGATCAGGCCAGGGTCTGAGCCAGGGGACAGGAATGAAGAGGGAGAGGCCATCCAGGTTCGGGAGGAGGAAACCGGGAGCCGGACAGCTAAGGAATTGGAAGGAGAAACACCGGAAGGCAAAGGCGTTCGCACAGGTATTCCCCGCACGGGCTTTGATACTTTTACAAGGACAAAAACGACTCATTTAAAGGAAAATCTGAGTCTTCCGAGGCCAAGGAGGCAGGGAGGGGGAACCGGAAGCCTCCCGTTCTTTTCACTGGGCCGAGCAGCCGGCCGGAAGCGGGCCCTCACCAGTCCACCGCCGCCTTGTTGTGCGCGTTGAGGGCCCCGGTGAGGGTGCGCGCCGACACCTTGAAGTTCACGGTATAGGGCAGCATCGCGGGGCCGGCAGGGCCTCGGCACAGGCAGGCCGGAAGCGGCGCTCACGGCGCTTCCGTTCCAGAGTCCGGCTAGCCGCGGCGGTCAGGTTCCGTCTCGCAGGAGCCAAGGTTCCAGTGTCCTGTGCTTCCGTCTTCCCGAGGATCCCGGGCTTCTAGGTTCCGACCTCTCCAGAGTTCCGAGAATCTAGGGGTTCCACTGCTCTGTGCGAGCTGGAGCCGCGCTTGAAAGAGGGGTGCTGCCACCAGCCGTACCCGCCTTCTTTGGGGGGCACGGAGGGCGGGAAATCACTAAAAGCTAAGGATAAGCCTCCCAATTTCCCTCTCTGCCTTTGATATGTTAATTTAGGGCTACTACCCTTGGCAGGCACCGCTGTAGCTATTAGGGATGTTCAGATGAAGACGACACAGTCTTTTTTCTCCTGAACTTAACAGAGTCAGTGGATGAACATTTGTGGACATAAAAAATACAGCTCTTAGGGGTGGAGAGATGGGTCAGTGGTTAAGATCACTGGCTGCTCTTGCAGAGGACTTGGGTTCAGTTCCCCGCACCAACATGGCAGCTAACAACTAACTCCAGTTCCAAGGGATATGACGCCCTCCTCTGGCTTCTGTGAGCCTTGCACGACACAGGTGTACTTACATGCATGCAAAACATTCATACACATAAAAATAAAATCTTTTAAAAACTATAGCCCTCACCTCAAAGGAGTAAGAACATGACCCGGGGAACACATATTCAGGTTCCTGAAATACCATGTTTCAAAGTGTTAACAATTTCATGCAGTTTTTACAGTAACAGAACAAAGAAATCATAAATCAAGTTACTTTTAAAATACATTGATGGGAACATCAAGTTGACTGATTATTGCAAAGGCATCAGATGCCAGCGATGACATTCTTAGCTTTTGGGTTAGTGGAACATAAGAATCTGTACATTCCAGAAGGCCTCACTAAATAGTTCTAGAGTGTTAGATCACAATCAGAAGTGAGCAATAAAACACTATTTAGGACAAAGATCACCCAAGATAATATGGCTCTGGACCCGCAAAATCACAACTCTTCACAATTATTGAAGTTCTTATCAGTTAATTTGCCATGTAAAATATTTAACACAGATGTGGTTTTGGTTTTTGCTTTTATTTTCTGGGAACTTTTACATTAATGAATAAAATGGAGAGAGTGAATAAAATGAATCACCCAAATGTAAACTATTCCAGATACAGAGAACATTTTGAGCCTGGTCCTAGAAATACACTCTTTGCAGTTGGAGGATGCCTGGCCAAGTGATCCCAACTGTTCATTGGGCTGGTTTTCATCTTACCACTTCTCTGCCATTCTCCTTGGAGTTAGACTCAATCCTTCCCTCCTTTGTAGCCAGATTTGCATTATTACACTATTGCACTCAAGGGGGTAATTTATTCCCAGTGTTAATCTAAATAAAAACAGTAAGAGGCAGATTCTGCAAAGAATATGAATTTTTATTTGGGAATAGCAAAGAATTATAACAGGAACATGCATGTGAGAATAAACTATGGGGTATTCAGAGAGGCTGAGGCAAAAATGAGGGGGATTATATCAGCTAATTAGAAAAAAAATAATCTTTGGTCACAGTGATTAATAACTGATGGCACTATAGAATTGACCATAGAGTTGCTAGTGCTTGTAAGAAGCACTTTTTTGTAAGGCTGCATTGGTCTTTGTGCTAGCTAGTAAATCTGAGAGTCTTTTGTGGTAGTTCCCATCAGGCAATCATGTTTAAAAGCACTTCATAATCTTGGGGCTTTATATACTTCTTTGACTCCACGTTGGTTGGGGTTGGCACAGTGACTCCATTTTGATTCTGACAAGTTTAACATTTCTTTCAAACCAACAATGATATTTTCAGGTGTGTTTTTCATTCCTTATATATAGTTTAGCTCTTTGATCAATGAAAGATACAACATATTGATAATGTCATTGTACTTACCTTATCACTCTTGGAAAAGAGCTTTCTCAAAGATGACTTTTGATATCACTTAGTAAAGCCAGTGAAAACTTTTGACTCTTAATTATCATTGCTCTCTCTCTCTCTCTCTCTCTCTCTCTCCCTCCCTCCCTCCCTCCCTCCCTCCTTTGAGGGCCTCCATGTATTCCTATAATTATTGATCTGAATTTTTTATCAATCTCTTCTTCAAATCCTTGATGTCTTTTTGAACATGTAGTTAATTGGCTTCCCAAATTAATCCCCAAATTAATACACAGCAAATGTGTATCTGAACACACAGCTAGTCCATTGAGTGTGCCTCCCAGCTTCCCTTACAATTAGACAATAACACTAAATTCAGGCCAGTGGGGGCAGAAGTGAAAGCCTGTGTAGTAAAAGCTGAAAAGCCACTTTTCTATGATGATCGTATGTGCTTTTTCAGTGTTCATATCTCCACTATTGTTTTCTGCAGAGAGATCTGTCTCATAGATGTGACCAATACATTTTATATGACCATAATGTAGAGGGTTAAACATACCCTGGTAGACTTAGAACTCTTCTCAGAATGAGCCAAATTCTAGTTTTCCCTCCTTGCCAATGTCAGTCCTCAGCTGGTCCTCAATAACTGACTGATAGTTTCAAAGTTCCAAATTTCCATTAGGTATTAGGTCAAACAGGCACAAGGTGACAATCGGGAATCAGCACAGGAGTTCACAGATGGAGGTAGACATCAAGTAACCAGATCGTCTGTCTTCATGGCAAATAAAAGGTTCTTGGAGGGAGATATTAATTAGCTTCTATCTGGAAGCCACCTTGAGGGTATGAATGCTGAATATTCATGGCAAGGACCAGCTGGAATAAGACAGCAATATATCTCCCATGGTACAAGAGTGTGTAATTATGTATGTTCATAGATTTTTATGGTCTTCTTTGAATCATCTGTCTTGGCCACTATGGAACACAGAATAGTGGACAGTTGATCTCTTTAATAGGACAGAATTATGATCCTTATTAATGTCCTGATAATGTCGACCCGGGGTATTCTGCTACTGCTAAATCATTCACATTTCTAAACTAGGACAATTTTCTCCTTTTGTTTTCAATTTGATGGAAAAGATTATATAGATTTCTACCATCTACTGTGACTGAATAGGAAGCAGAAGAAAGTTGTGTAGGCATCAATAATTCATGCCTGAATAAGTTATTTCTTAAGTAAACTTTCTAAGGTTATATCACAGACAGCATTGATTTTAAAAGGTTTGAACATGGGACCAGCAAGATGGCTCCATGAGCAAAAGTGCTTGTAACCAAACCTTATGACCTGAGTCTGATCTCTAAGACCCACATTGTGGAAGAAGTGCAACATCTCAGAAAAGTTATGTTCTGATCTCTGCACACACAGCATGGCAAGAGTATGCAGGCGTGCGTGCACATGTGCGCACACACACGCACGCACGCACACACACACACACACGAAAATATAATAAAGATAAAAAAGTTTGACCATGAATGAGTGAAGATGAAGATGATGAGTTTGATACCTTGCTTCTGAGCACTCACAAAGAGGTGACTGCGGCGATGGTAATAAACCCTTTACCTGACTCATCTCATTTGATATACTCACAATCATAAGACTATATCTCATGTCTCCCATAGATGACAAGATCATGGCTTATAGCATTGCCCATAGTTATATAGCTAACAGAAATTAAAGCCAATATTAGAACTGGAATCACCAGGCGACCCTGAAACCATTCTTCAATATATCTCCCATGGTACAAGAGTGTGTAATTGACCAGGTGTGGTCGTGCACGCCTTTAATCCCAGCACTCGGGAGGCAGAGGCAGGCAGATCTCTGTGAGTTCAAGGCCAGCCTGGTCTACATAGTGAGTTCCAGGACAGCTGGGGCTACAGAGAGACCCTGTCTCAAAAAGAACCCCCCCCCAAAAGAGTGTATAATTATGTATGTTCACAGATTTTTATGGCCTTCTTTGAATCATCTGTCTTGGCCACTGTGGAACACAGAATATTGAACTCATTGGACAGTTGATCTCTTTAATAGGACAGAACTATGATCCTTATTAATGGCCTGATAATATCGACCTGGGGTATCCTGCGACTGCTGAGAGTACCACATTGCCCTCTGTCATAGTGACCTCCAGCTGTCAGCTTGACACACTTGGGAAGAGGGAACAACTGAGAAATGTCCTTTATTGGATTGTCCTGTGGGCATGTCTGTGGGGCATTTTCTTGATTGCTAGTTGATGTAGGAGGGCTCAGCCCACTGTGGGAGGTGCCAAACCTAGGCAGGTAGGCCTGGGGTCTATAATAAAGGTAGTTGAACAAGCCAGGGGAAGCAAGTCAGTAAACAGCGTGGTCCTCTGTGGTCTCTGCTTCAGTTTCTGCCTCCAGGTTGCTGCCTTGAGTTCTTGCCCTGGCTTCCCTCAGGGATGGACTGCAACCTGAAAGCTGAACAAAAGCCTTTCCTCTGCAAGTTGGTTTTGGTCATGTGTTTATCACAGCAGCAGGGAGCTAACCAGGACACTCTCTCTGTCACAGTCCTCTACACAGCCCACATAGAGTGAACTCTGGCTGCCCGAGAAGCATGAGACTTAAACAGAAGCTGCTTTACTGAGATACAATCCATGCATCATAAAATCCATACATTTTAAATGTACAGTGTGATGGGGTTTAGTGTATTTCCTGTTTTGTAATCATAATCAAGTTTAGAATATTTCAGCACTTCTAAAAGAAACCCATTACCATTCACTAGCCAGTCCTTCACCTTTGCTTCCCTGTCTTAGCCCCAAGAAACCACAGATCTGTAGATTTGACTAGTTTGGACATTTAGTGCAAAAGTCATTGACACTATGTGGTACTTTGTGCCTAACTTCTTCTACTTAGCATAATGCTTTCAAGTTTTGTCCATCCATGTTGTAGTTCATATCTGTACTTTAGTCCTTTTCCCTGTTCGTCATATGAATATACATTTATTTAGTCACTCATCAAGTCGATAGATTTGTTTTCCACTTTATGAAGACTGTAATGTTGCTAAGAAAGTTCCTCTATATTTTTTTAATTTATGTTTTCATATTTCTTGGCTATATACTGAGAAATGGAATTGCAGCTCACATGATACTC